CCTGTCGCACGAGCGGCGCAGGCTGGAGGCCAGGGCAGCCGAGCACGACGTGCAGAGGGGGGTGCTGAGGGCCGAGATCAAGGCGGCTCGAGAACAGCCTCCGGGCAGCCTGGGACCGCCAGGGGACGAGGTCGAGGCGAGACGCCGGCGCGACGAGCTGGACCGCATGGTCGGCTGCTTCCACGCCGAGCTGTGCGAGTACGGCACGGTGGAGCGCGGTCGCCACGGCGAGCACGAGACTCTGGAGCGAGAGGTGGCCGCTCTGCGCGCCAGCCTGCGTGGACACGGGGACCTGGAGCGCGAGGTCGAGCGCCTGCGCGGCTGCCTGGACGCCCACCACCAGCTGGAGCGCGAAGTCGAGCGGCTGCGTGCGGACCAGCACGAGCTGCAGGGCGTGAGCCGCGAGGTGGAGCGCCTCCGCGGCTGCCAGGACGCCCACCACCAGCTGGAGCGCGAAGTCGAGCGGCTGCGTGCGGACCAGCACGAGCTGGAGCGCGTGAGACGCGAGGTAGAGCGCCTCCGTGGCTGCCAGGACGCCCACCACCAGCTGGAGCGTGAGGTCGAGCGCCTGCGCGGCTGCCAGGACGCCCACCACCAGCTGGAGCGCGAGGTCGCGCGCCTCCGTGGCAGCCAGGACGCCAACCACCAGCTGGAGCGCGAGGTCGAGCGCCTGCGCGGCTGCCTGGACGCCCACCACCAGCTGGAGCGCGAGGTCGCGCGCCTCCGTGGCCCCCAGGACGCCCACCAGCTGGAGCGCGAGGAGGACCACCTCCGCAGCTGCCAGGACGCTCACCACGAACTGGAGCGCGAGGTCGAGCGCCTGCGCAGCTGCCAGGACGCCCACCACCTGCTGGAGCGCGAAGCCGAGCGGCTGCGTGCGGACCAGCATGAGCTGCAGTGCGTGAGCCGCGAGGTGGAGCGCCTGCGCGGCTGCCAGGACGCCCACCACCAGCTGGAGCGCGAGGTGGAGCGCCTCCGCAGCTGCCAGGACATCCACCATGAGCTGGAGCGCGAGGTCGACCACCTGCGCGGCTGCCAGGACGCCCACCACCAGTTGGAGCGCGAGGTGGAGCGCCTCCGCGGCTGCCAGGACGCACACCACCAGCTGGAGCGCGAAGTCGAGCGGCTGCGTGCGGACCAGCACGAGCTGCAGGGCGTGAGCCGCGAGGTGGAGCGCCTCCGCGGCTGCCAGGACGCCCACCACCAGCTGGAGCGCGAGGTGGAGCGCCTCCGCAGCTGCCAGGACGCCCACCACCAGCTGGAGCGCGAGGTGGAGCGCCTCCGCGGCTGCCAGGACGCAAACCACCAGTTGGAACATGAAGCCGAGCGGCTGCGTGCGGACCAGCACAAACTGGAGCGCGTGTGCTGCGAGGTGGAGCGCCTGCGCAGCTGCCAGGACGCCCACCACCAGCTGGAGCGCGAGGTGGAGCGCCTCCGCGGCTGCCAGGACGCGCACCACCAGCTGGAGCGCGAAGTCGAGCGGCTGCGTGCGGACCAGCACGAGCTGCAGGGCATGAGCCGCGAGGTGGAGCGCCTGCGCGGCTGCCAGGACGCCCACCACCAGCTGGAGCGCGAGGTGGAGCGCCTCCGCAGCTGCCAGGACGCCCACCACCATCTGGAGCGCGAGGTGGAGCGCCTCCGCAGCTGCCAGGACGCACACCACCAGCTGGAACATGAAGCCGAGCGGCTGCGTGCGGACCAGCACAAACTGGAGCGCGTGTGCTGCGAGGTGGAGCGCCTGCGCGGCTGCCAGGACGCCCACCACCAGCTGGAGCGCGAGGTGGAGCGCCTCCGCGGCTGCCAGGACGCCCACCACCAGCTGGAACACGAGGTGGAGCGCCTGCGCGGCTGCCAGGACGCCCACCAGGAGCTTGAGCGCGAGGTGGAGCGCCTCCGCAGCTGCCAGCATGCCCATCAAGAGCTGGAGTACGAGATCGAGCGCCTGCGCGGCCGCCAGGGCGATTTCCCCGCGCACGGTCGCGAAGCGGGACACTTGGAGCGCGACGGCCAGTCGGAGGCGAGGGGCGACGTGGAGCGCCTCGGCGGCCAGCAGGTGGGACAGCTCGAGCGCGAGCGCGAGGAGCTCGAGCTGCCTCGCGGTGGCAGCGCGAGGAGCGCGAGGAGCGCGAGCCTGAGCGCGGGCGCGAGAAGCGCGAGGAGCGAGCGGAGGGAGCAGCAGGACGCGAAGGAGAAAAAGCATCGAGGTTCGAGGATCGAGGTGCGTTTTCTAGAGGTTCTTGATCGTCCTTGGGCGCCCTCGTGGTCACCGCTGGATCCGCCTCAGAATTCTGGTCAGAGCGCACCCCTCGAGGAGGAACAGATTGCGTACACATTTTTGGGGGGCTCTGCCCAGATTTCTCGGATCGGCGCTGGGCCCCTCTGGCGCCGCGGAGAGGGAGGTCCAGCGCCGATGCAAGAAAAATCCGCGCGGAGTTCCGAAAGTTGGTGTCTATGCAGTTACTTGTTCCTCTAAGGAGGACGCGCTGCTCCGGGAGGAGCTCGTAGGGGCGATGGCGCTCAAGAAGCGGCTGCGGGCAGAGGTGGGCCAGGAGGTACTCCGGACGTCTCGAAGGGAAGATGGGGAAGCTCGAGGGTTGCCAGAGGTGTTCCTGGTCCAAAGTGCCCTCAGCTTCTCGCTTCATTTTGGATCTCCTGGAGCCCTCTGGGCCTAGTGAGGGGCGCTCTGTAGGCCATACGAGCCTCCCTGGCAGAGCTGGGGACACCTTGAGCCAGGGTCACGTCTTGCACAATCCGGGGAGGGGGCGGGGGAAGTGGAGCGTGAGAGGGGGAGCGTGTGGGTCGGTGCTACATCTGGAAGCCTGGCGCACATCTTCAAACAATGTGATTAGCATCGCGGAAAAGTATTGAAGACGCCCACGAAGACTCACCGCCGCCCTCTGCCTGTGCAAAACGTCTGTGTCTTGAAATGTCGATCGAAAGTGCGGCCAAGCCAGTGGACTGCGTGTTCCCCAACCCGTTGTGAAAATTATTGGGGGGAATGCTGGAGAAGGGCCGAGGTTGGACCGGTTCGGGGCTGTCTCGGGGCTTGTTCTCCTCATCTAGACCTTCTTGGTGGCCTTCTGGCACCCTCTTGGGCCATCTTGGGTCCCCCTTGGGGTGTCTTAGGGGGCCCTCCTGGGCCATATTGCGCATTCGGAGGCCGTCGTGGGGGCTTCTCCGGGCCGTCTTGGGACTAACTTGCTATCTTGGCCGTCTTGGGGTCCTCGTGGACCGCCTTGGGGTCCTCTTGCAGACCTTGAGGGCCATCTTGGGTTGGTATTGGGGGCCTGTTGGGCTGGCCTGCAGGCTCTGGAGACCGAAAAAGCAAAACGTCCCCAAATAGTGCTTGCATTTGGGGCTTCTCGCTTCCCTTCTGAGGAATCCAAGACGGCCCAAGAGGGCATCCAGGAAGGCCCGAAGAGGCCAACAATATTTGTTTCCCATCGGTTATTTGAAGGATTTTGGCAGTTGCTTCTGCTCGGCCTTCCGACGGCCCGAGACGGCCCAAGAGCCTCTAAGGATCGCCCAAGATCGCCCAAGAGGCCTCCAAGACGGCCCCAGCATGGCCCAAGAAGCCCCCACGACGGCTCCAAGTTGGCCCCAAGACGGCCCAAGCAAGAGGCCTCCAAGACGCCCTAGATGGCCTCCAAGACGGCCCTGGAGCACCACACGAGAGCCCCAAGTCGGCCCAGAGAGGCCTTCAAGACGGCTTTCGACGGCGCCGGGCGGGCCAGGAGGCCATCAAGACGGCCCAAGATGGCTCGAAGATTGCCCAAGACAGCCCAAGAGGCCCCCCAGAGGTCTCCAAGACGGCCCCAGAGGCCCCCAAGAGGGCTTCCAGGAAGGCCCGCAGATGCCAAATTCATTGATTCCCTTCAGGTGTTTGAAGGAGTTTGGCATTTGCTTCTTTTCGGCCTTCCGACGACCCGAGACTGCCCAACAGCCCCCAAGAGGCCTCCAAGATGGCCCCAGAACGGCCCAAGAAGCCCCAAAGACGGCTTCATGAGGGCCCCGAGACGGCCCACGAGCCCCCAAGGATCACCCAAGAGGCCTCCGAGATGGCCCCAGAACGGCTCAAGAAGCCCCAAGGGCGGTTCCAAGTTGGCCCCAACACGGCTCAACGGGCTTCCAAGACGCCCCAGATGGCCTCCAAGGCGGCCCTGGAGCACCCCAAGAGAGCCCCAAGTCGGCCCAGAGAGGTCCTCAAGACGGCTTCCGACGGCGTCAGACGGGCCAGGAATGCCCTAAGATTGCACCCACAGAAATTTGGTAATTTGGGCTCCAGGCCCCTTAGAGACTCCTCAGGAGTGAGGAGTGAGGCTTGGAGGATTGGTCAAAGGAACTGAGGACACGCCCACTCCGTGCCCAGAGGCACAGTGGCGGATCTAGCCAACACGTCGCCCCAGTAAGATTTGGAGCCACGTTCGCGCGGCGATGCTCCGACGTGGGTGCGATGTGAACCCGACGTGAACCCAACGCATATCTGACGTGATTCGACGGGAGCCCGACGCGAATCCGGCGTGGACCCGACGTAAATTTCAGACGGGCATCCAGAGAAATCCGTTCCAGAGAGTTCCAGAACGCTCTCAGAGCGTTCGGGAACGCTCTGAAACGGCCGCGGCGCCCGACACATCTTCCAGACCCGCCGATTATAGGAGGTTTCTGATTAGTATCGGTCCGATTTTGTCTCGATTCTGCCGTCGTCTTCCATTTGGGTTTCTCGAGCTGCCGCGCGAGGTCCCCGCCTGGGAGTTTTTCCTCGCAGCCTTGAGGGTCCTTGAGTTCGGGTGTTGCCAGATGAGCCCCTGGCCCACGGTGTTTCCAGGAGTTTCCAGGGAGGTCCCCACGGCTTCCAGAGCATTCCCCACGAGGCCGAGAGGTGCAACGCAAAAAGGCAGGATCCTCTTCGCCGACATTCGCGCGTAAGCTTTCCGCGTAAGGTCGCGCGTATGCGCCCTCGTTTCCAGTGTGGCGTGCCGCGCTGGCGGCCCGCGTCAGCCACCGCGTATGGTCGCTATGTCATATTGCGCAAGACCCGTTTTGGATCGTCGCCCAGAGGGCCCCAGGGGCTCCAAAAGGAGGCGAAAAGCTGGGGGCACCCTTCGGACGGGGCCAGGACGAAGACAAATCCGTTCCAGAGCGTTCGGGAATGCTCTCAGAGAGTGCCGGAACGCTCTGAGAAGGCCGCGCCGCCCGAGACATCCTCCAGAGCCGCCGGATCTCGGAGCTTCTGGAGGCATCCTCGCCTGAGTATCTCCTCGCCCCGGATTCGTCTGAGGAGCCCTGGGCCAGGAGGAGGAGGAGGAGGAGGAGGAGGAGGAGGAGGAGGAGGGAGAGGAGGAGGAGGAGGAGGAGGAGGAGGAGGAGGAGGAGGAGGAGGAGGAGCAGGGGGAGGAGGAGCAGGCGGAGGCGAGGGAGGAGAAGGAGGAGGAGGCGAGCCGCTGGCTCGGCCGCCCTCGCTCCTCGGAAGCTCCGAGGGGGCCCCTCGCGCCGCCCGTCGGGGCCCGCCTTCGCAGGCGAGGCTCCCGTCGCATCGGAGGGAGGAGAAGCGATACCAACACCACCAGGGGGCCCACCTCCAGCGAGGAGTTCCACGATGCCTCCCCGAGCGAGAAACTGGGGATGTATCGAGCGAGAGGTGGGGACCACACCACCAGGTAGACCCCCCTTGCCTCCGCGAATCTCCTCGCCCTGTTGGTGTTGGTGTCGCCTTTCCTTGCTCCTATCGCAGGCCCCGACTTTCCAGCGAAGAATGATGAAGCGGCTGAGATTTTTGGCCTCCTGGATGGGTTCGGAGCGCACGGGGTGGGAGGGTCGCGCCACGTCGCCGATGCATCGACGATCTGGCTCGATGCGGAGCCCGGTTTGCTTCACGCCGACGTCGCCGATGCACCGTCCATGTCGACGATGCATCGCTGGTGCATCGCCGATGCATCGCCGATGCATGGCCGATGCATGGCCGATGTATCGGCGATGTGGCGCAATCTCCTGACCGCATCTACTCCGACCCCATCTAGGAGGCCTCCATAAGAAAAGGGAGGAAACCCTGGGATACACCCCGAGGGGGGCTATTCGGACGCACCCTTGTCGAGGATGGACGCCCCCCCCCCCCTCGTATATCCCAGGGTTGGGCCCATGATTTCAGGTCCACTCGAAAACCTCCCAAAGCCAGGGTTAGAGTCGACATATCCCCCCGATCGATGCGGTTCGGCGTCGATTCCGCCTGGCCCGGATTCGATGTTCCCATGTTCCGGCGATCTGATTCAGGGAGTCGTCATGGGGGAAGCGGGTCTTCAGGGAAACGGATCCTGAGGTTTTCGCTGTTTGGGGCTTCCCGGGGCCCTCCACTGCTCCGGGACTGTCGTGATGGGCCTGTTGTCCACCACCACCACCACCATAATTTGGAGGGGGGAAGGAGGAGGAAGAGGAGGAGGAGGAGGAGGAGGAGGAGGAGGAGGAGGAGGACCCCCTCCACCTCCGACTTCTGGTGGTGGTGGTGGTGGAAAACAGGCCCATCATGTCGGGAAACTTTTCACGATGAAGAATTGGTCCTCGGGGAAGGTCCCAGGGTCCTGGACCCGGTTCCTTCAGGACCCAATTCCTCCATGCTCTTAAGAGCACAGCTATCGGATTGGGAGGATGGGGGTGGGAGACATGATCTGGTCATCCCTATCATCGCGCATGTTGCGGGTGTTTATTACACAGTCCTACCCTGTATCTTCCCAACCCCTTCCTCCCAACAAGACGATTGTCTTTCTCACCGATGCGGCCCGACTCTTGCACATGCGCTGTTGCGCATCCTGGCGCAGCCGATCCGGTTCGATTTCCGCTCCGTGCCGACGCAGCCCGATCCGACGCGCGTTTCGATTCGATCCAACGTACCGATTCGCTGCTGATTGATCGCGCCGCCAGTGCGAACTCGCTCGCTCGAGGGGCCTGAGGTCAGCACGGCCTCGGCGGGCGATCTGCAGCCAGGGCCGCTCGCGCTCGCAGGTTTTCCTCACCGCCTCTCCGTCCCAAACCAGACATCCGATGTCTTGAGCTTTTCAATGCAGTGGAAGCCCATGTCAAGAAACTCTCTGCTTGCCTCCAGGGTGCCCTGGGTTTCTTGGGTTCCGATGGTTTTGCTATGGAAGGCGTGACGCTCCCACACCAAAATTCAATGGACACCCTGGGGTCTCAGGATTGGATTTCTGGTGGAAGGTTTCTTGTGGTCGAGCTCCTTCTGTACGGGGTCCCCGGAGGTCTGGATCTTTTCCCCGGGGCCGGCTCTGCATCCCGAGTGGTTCTTTGACGGTACCGGGGCCCGGCCAGGGCCTCCAGAGGCCGAAATTTGAGGATTACCTCCGTCTCGAGTTTCTCGAGACGCTCGAGCAGAGGATCGATCACAGAATTGATTCAACCCAGAAATGTTTTTCCGTCGAGTCCACGGTTGCGGATCTATGAACGTTCTGCATAGTTTTCGTAGATTCGACGAAACAATCAGTTCTGGGGTAAATCGATTCTGTACAGTCGACCCCCCACAGTCAACGCGCCTAGTGAGGACGCGCGCCTCCATCCAGGGTGCCCTTGCGTCCTTGCCTCTGCGGCCCGACCTTTGCCGTTGTCACGAGTCGCCCGCCGCCCCCCAAAAAATCCAACTTCGGCCTCCAGGGGTCTTGCGCCCTTACCACCCGTCCTGAGTGATTACACTTGAGTGTGGGGAGCAGGCTGAGTCCAGTCAGGCGTGCCTCTGGCAGCCTCTGGTCCTGACATGCGCCGCGCAGTCCATCCCATTCGGATTTGATGATGATCGTGCCTCTCGCCCTCCCCCTTTCGTCCTCCGTACCCGTTCTCCCGCCCGTCCCTTCCGCCCTCCCCCTCCACCCTCCGCCTCCTCCCCCTCCTCCTCCTCCTCCTCCTCCTCCTCCTCCTCCTCCTCCTCCTCCTCCTCCTCCTCCTCCCCCTCATCCTCCTCCTCCTCCTCCTGATCCTCCTCCCCCTCCTCCCTTCTCTTCCTCCTCCTCCTCCTCCTCCTCCTCCTCCTCCTCCTCCTCCTCCTCCTCCTCCTCCTCCTCCTCCTGTGGCCGAGACGAGACGCTGGAGGGTCTGGGCCGCGCGCCGAGCCCAGGCCGGCGCCGAGCCCCGCGCGCGCCTCGAGGAGGCCGACCGCGCCGTGGGCGTGCTGCGGGAGGCCCGCGCGGGCCTCGCGGAGGCGGCCGAGCGCGCGGCGGCCGCGCTGGAGCACGGGGGGGGGAAAGGTCATCGAGAGCAGAGGAGCTGGGCCACACACGCACACACAAACACACACACACATACACACATACATATATATATATATATGTATCATACGCACCTCTCCGAGGGAGTAGAGCTCAGAGGCGATCAATGCGTACGCGCCGCGTTCGCGATTTGTTATGGCCGTTTCGCTAGGGACATCCTCGAAATTCTGAACATCGGTGGCACTCCTTACACAGATCGTGACGTCAGGGTAAACACATGGGAATTGCAACATTCTAACATAAAACCTTCAAACGCACATGTATCTTCATTCAGAATACACACAACGATATAGAAGACAGACGAATACACATAGTTCCGCCGCGTTCCTATTCATAGATGTTCAAACCATCCTGTGGTGCTGGGTCCTCGTTTTGAAGAGAGAGCGCCCCGCGTTCCTCTCCTCTCCCTCCTCCCTTCTCCCATCGCTGCCTCTCCTCTCCGCATGCCCATCCCATTCTGGCACAATCCTCAGACAGTTCGTGGCCCCATAGGGAGCTCCACCGAATGCCCCAGTGGTCATCCCCATGCGTCCCCCCGCCCATTTCGGCACACCCCTCACGAGGACCATGGCCCCACAGGGAGCTCCACCGAAGGCCCCAGCGGCAGGGTCTGCATGCGTCCCCCCGCCCATTTCGGCACACCCCTCACGAGGATAGTGGCCCCATAGGGAGCTCCACCGAAGGCCCCCGCGACAGGGTCTGCATTTTTCCCCGCGCCCATTTCGGCACACCCATCACTAGGACCGTGGCCCCATAGGGAGCTCCACCGAAGGCCCCAGCGGCAGGGTCCGCACGCGTCCCCCCGCCCATTTCGGCACGCCCCTCACGAGGACCGTGGCCCCATAGGGAGCTTCACCGAAGGCCCCAGCGGTAGGTTTCGCATGCGTCCCCCCGCCCATTTCGGCACACCCCTCACGAGAACCGTGGCCCCACAGGGGAAGGCCCCAGCGGCAGGGTCCGCATGCGTCCCCCCGCCCATTTCGGCACACCCCTCAAGAGGACCGTGGCCCCATAGGGAGCTCCACCGAAGGCCCCAGCAGCAGGGTCCGCATGCGTCCCCCTGCCCAGTTCGGCACGCCCCTCACGAGGATCTTATCCCCATAGGGAGCTCCACCGAAGACCCCAGCGGCAGGGTCCGCATGCGCCCCCCCGCCCATTTCGGCCCCCCGCCCATTTCGGCACACCCTTCACAGGGATCGTGGCCCCATGGGGAGCTCCACAGAAGGCCCCAGCGGCAGGGTCCGCATTTTTCCCCGCGCACATTTCGGCACACCCCTCACGGGGATCGTGGCCCCATAGGGAGCTCCACCGAAGACCCCAGCGGCAGGGTCCGCATGCGTCCCCCCGCCCATTTCGACACCCCGCCCATTTCGGCACACCCCTCACAAGGATCGTGGCCCCATAGGGAGCTCCACCGAAGGCCCCAGCGGCAGGGTCCGCATGCGTCCCCCCGCCCATTTCGGCACGCCCCTCACGAGGATCGAATCCCCATATGGAGCTCCACCGAAGGCCCCCGCCGCAGGGTCCGCATGCGTCCCCCGCCCATTTCGGCACACGCCTCACGAGAACCGTGGCCCCGTAGGGAGCTCCACCGAGAGCTGTACCCACAACGCGGCACTCACAAGTGCATGTGGTTGGGTCCTTCGCCAGGATAATGTTATAGGGCCGCGGGCCCCAGAAAGAGCGCACCCCCCCTCGACCCTCCCCCCAAAACGAATTTCGAATCCTCGGGCCTGTCTTGCGCCTCTCTGCGGCCATTTTGGGGTCATCTTGACGCCTCCCGAGACAACCAGAAGCGAAAATGCGGAAAGGCTGAATACATTGCTTTTCCAAAGGGTTTTCTCTGATTTGCCGACTCTCTGGGCCCTGTTAGGCCAGCCTTGGGCTTCTTTGGGGCTCGTCTGGGGACTTATTTGGAGACGTCTTGGGGCTATCTTGACGCCTCCCGAGCCGATCGTAAGCGAAATGCGAGACGGCCAAAGCATTGGTTTCCCATTGGAGTTCTCATTGATCTTTAATGATTTGGGCCTTCTTCGGCCAGCCTTGGGCCTCTTTGGGGCTCGTCTGGGGACTCATTTGGAGCCGTCCTGGGGCTATCTTGACGCCTCAATAGCCAATCGGAAGCGACAAGGCGAGAAGACCACAAACACTGATTTTCCAAAAGGTTGTCATTGACTTTCAATTCTTCGTGACTTCTTCGGCCAGCCTTGGGCCTCTGTGGGCCTCGGCTTGCGCCTCTCTGGAGACATCCTGGGGCTATCTTGACGCCCCCCGAACCGATCGGAAGCAAAAAGGCGGGAAGGCCGAAAACATTGTTTCTCCAATGGTTGTTTGAACTGATTTTCGAACCTCGGGGCCCTCTAGGGCCAGTCTGTGCCCTCTTTGGGGCTCGTGTGGGGACTCATTTCGAGCCGCCTGGGCCTACCTTGATGCCTCAAGAGCCAATCGGCAGCGACAAAGCGAGAAGACCACAAACACTGATTTCCATATGGATTTTCACACATGTTTAATTCTTTGGGCCGTCTTCGGCCAGGCTTGGGCCTCCTTGGACCTCGGCTTGCGCCTCTCTGAGGCCATCCTGGGGTCATCTTGACGCCTCTCGAGCCAGCCGGAAGCGAAAAAGCGAGCAGGCCGAAAACATTGTTATTCCAATGTTTTTAGTTCTGATTTCCGACTCTCCGGGCCCTGTTGGGTCAGCCTTGGGCTTCTTTGGCTCGTTTGGGGAACTCCTCACCCATTCCGTTTTGGCGGTGGCACGCCCCATGTGTACGCGCACGCACGCCGCTTGCATTCGAAACTACAAGGAACAAGGTGCATGGCGCGAAGCTCCAATGCAGTCTTGTGTGTATATATTTTATAGAATACACACGCAGACACCCTCCAATGGATTGCTCCTGGACCTCAGGAAAGGGTGCTGGTATACACGTGTATATATATATATATATATACATATGCATCTATGTATATATATAAATATGTAAACATATAGGTGTCTATATTTATATGTACATATATGCCTATATATATATATACATACCTACCTACCTACCTACCTACATACAACCAACCAACCAACCAACCAACCAACCAACCAACCATACATACATACATACATACATACATGCATGCATGCATGCATGCATGCATGCATGCATGCATGCATGCATGCATGCATGCATGCATACATACATACATACATACATACATATATATACACACACCACCGCTGAGAGCCAGCGACTTTGCACATTGCCATCATCCCTGAAGGTACATGCAGAGTTCGTCGGAGGGTGTCTGTGTATATTTCTTGGAGGCACAAGAGCCCTTGACCCTGATAACACAATCGAGACGTATCGCCATGGGGGAAGTGGGTTCGGGTTCGAGGCTCGAGGTTTTCGAGCGTGTTTGGCACTTCTCGGCTGTTTTTCAGCCTCGGGGTGCTTTCCAGCAGATGCGCATCGCCGAGGGCGATTTGGGGGTGCCTGGATCGTCCCGAACGGCCGCCAGAGACCCGAGTTATGACCCAGAAGCCGTTCGCCATGGGGGAAGCGAGTCCTGAGGGAGACGGGTCCTGAGGTTTTTCGCCGTTCGGGGCCTCCCAGTGCCCTCCACCAGCCGTGGGTCTATCAGACAACGACTCAGGATGAAGAGCTGGTTCATTATTAGGGAGCATCAGTCTGAGCGGATTGGCTTGATACATAGACCCATTATTCCTAATGTAGCCTGATGTTTTGGGTCTCTCAGCTGAGGTCCACTCCCAAAGGGATAGGGGTTACATCCAGCGTCTCGGTTCCCAGACCCTCTCGAGTCATGAAATCATCACGGTTTTCAACCTCATGGGGGCGTCATGCAGGACAATCAAGAAAACGATTCGGGTTGAGAATACGGTCCCAGGGAAGGGGTCGAGACCTTTGGGGGTCGAAGCTATGAAACAATCATGACGTCGAGGGTCTCGTCGGACACGGCTAGGACGAGGATAACTCCGTTCTGGAGCGCTCTCAGAGCGTTCCAGAACGCTCTAAGAATGCCGCGACGCCCAATACATTCTCAGAGCCGCCGGATTTCAGAGATTCTCGCCCCAATCTCAGGGGTTGCGAAAGGTGCCCCTGGCCCAAGGTGCCACCAGCGTTTCGCTCAATGATGGAGCCCCGAGGGGCCCTCTGGGCCCCGCGATGGGGCCTCCCTAGAAACCCTGCGGGGCACCTTGGGCCAGGCAGCACCAGCGAATTCAGCCTCGTTCTGGCTTCGTCGTATCTTGGCCTCTGGCCGCCATTGCCGCAGGCAGGGGGCCCTCTGTGCCCCCCATGCTACTTTGGCGCGTGCGGGGCGCCCCTCGCGCTGACAGCCCGGGCGGGGCCCGCGTGGTGCCCTCGTCGCTGGGGGCGTTGCCGGGGGATCGGTGGTCCAAAGGTCGGGTCCTGAGGGACGGAGCCCTAAGAGCGCGGTGCCCCAAACAGCGTAGATCCTCCCTTGGATCCCTCCCTATCCTTCGGCCCCCATCCCTCACGACCTCATCTTCGAAGCACCGAGGGCGGGCCGGGCGTTGCCAGAAGTGCCCCTGGCCTAAGGTGCCCCGCAGGAGTTCCAGGGAGGCCTCCACGGTCTCCAGAGAACCCCTCACGAGGCCCAGAGAGCCTCTTGGGGCTCCAAAACGATGCGAAAAGCTGGGGCACCTTGGGCCAGGGCCTGGGGCACCTTTAGCAACCCCCGAGGAGGCGAGTTTGGCAGCGTCCGGTGTCCCCAGACATCCAGCGTCTTGATAACATTGGGACGGGAGGGTTTTCGTAGTTTTTGGCTTCTCGTGGCCCTCGCCGGGCCGTCAAGGAGCCCAGATGAACACCCTGTCCCGGGGAAGGTTCGGAGCTTGAATGACCGTCGGAGTTGCTATGTAGAAAGGTGGTTTCGTATGCTGGATAGGTGGTTCTAAACCGTTTGGAGAACCTCGTAGGAAGTGGTTAGGCATCGACCGAAACAAGTCAGATAGCCTAGTTTAGCTAGCCCGTTCAGGGGTCGCCGTGAACAGTTTAGCTAACCTGTTCAGGGGCCCCCTTGAGGCCCCGTCCCAGACCCCCAGAGAGGCACAGCAACATCGACGACGACGAAAACGCCGAGAACGACGACGACAACTTCCCTCTCTCCGTGCATTTCCGCTGCTGCCTCGCCTTGCAAACGCCTCCGCGCAGAAATAGAGCAGGAGCGCCCGCCACGGGGGAGGGGCTGGAGAGCTGGGGGGGGGAGGACGGACAGGAGGCGGCGGTGGAAACATGTCGTTCGCCTCTGCATGCAACATCTTAGCAGTGCTAAGTCCCGCATCGCTGCGACATCACAGGTCAGCCCTCGTGCGAAGCCTTGGGGGGAAAATGACCTGCGACATTTCCCCCACTGAAACTGGGGAAAATACCATATTCGATGGTGCACGATGCTGGCTCATCTGTATATCATCGCACACTACACGCTTCGCAACGTTACCCACAACATCAGCTGTCCCTTAAACAGATATGAGAGACGTCACGTCTGGTTGAAAGGTTAGGCTGAACAAGCAAGCCACATCCCCGAAGTGTATCATCGATCCACTGCACTCGAATACGACAACACCACCTACTTGAACACCCCTACATTTCACGAAAGCTTTCCTACTGACCTTCAATCTCTCGCGGGGCAACATACCTACGAATGCTTCTAATATCGAGCGGACTGGTTTGCTCGGCGAGCTGGGCTCATCGAGGTCGGGGCGAAGCAGCGGGCGGTTCTGGAGCTCCCACAAGTGAAACGATGCTATCTCCTCGAGCATACGCTTTTCAAACGAGACAGTGTTCCTCCTACCTTGCGCCATGCATTTGAAAACACGATGTTTGCGCTCCTGCAGGAACGCCGTCAGTAGGCAGCGCTGCCTCTGACGTTGGTCTGGCAAATGTGTCCCGAAGTGGTCCTTTGGGACCCAGATCTCGGACGTATTCGCCATCCTACAGAGGTTGGTATGGGAACAAATCGCATCGCGGAGGTCGGCTGGGCTGACCACTCCGCTGTTAGATATAAGCAACAAGCCCACACTGCGGCACAGTGCAATGCAGTTCGCCACCTCGCACTCAAGCACGCCCGTCCTCGCCGCTACGTCTACGACAACCTTATCAAGGACAGGCGCCAGCGACACCATCTCAGAAGCACTGCCTGGCAGCTTCCCCTTGTGCAGAGCATTGACCCCGCTCGCGTAGGACCTAGGCCATTCCCACTGCTTGACAGATTCGGTCAGCGCCGCGACGCCGAGCCTGTGATCACTAAGCCGCTCGAGGAAGCACCATACTTCATTCGTAAACGCCCCCGTGATCATATAACAGCACATCCAATCCCAAGTGAATACAGTTACCAGCGGTATGTCCAACTCAGGGCATTGGAGTAATGATTGAGGCGCGCAATTGAAGCCGAAGAGCATTTCCATCCTCTGGAGGAGGAGGAGGAGGAGGAGGAGGAGGAGGAGGAGGAGGAGGGGGAGGAGGAGGGGGAGGGGGAGGGGAGGAGGAGAGGAGGAGGAGGAGGAGGAGGAGGAGGAGGAGGAGGAGGAGGAGGAGGAGGAGGAGGGGGAGGAGGAGGGGGAGGGGGAGGGGGGGAGGAGGAGAGGAGGAGGAGGAGGAGGAGGAGGAGGAGGAGGAGGGAGGAGGAGGTCCTTGTACGTCCCATGTTCGGCCTCTTGGGGCGGCGCTCGTGGCCGCGGCCGTTCATTGGAGCCTTTTGGTTGGCTTCCCCAGGAGGCCGCCCGCGCGGAGCTGTGCGTGGCCAGGGGCGCGGCGGGCGCTGGAGGCGATCGCGGGGCGCCAAGGGAGGCGTTCCAAGAAGGGCCTCGCTTTCTAGGCTCGTCGTCCTCCTCCTCCTCCTCCTCCTCCTCCTCCTCCTCCTCCTCCTCCTCCTCCTCTGCGGCGGAAGGCGGCGGAAGGGCGGCGGAAGGTCGGCGAAAGTAAGACGAGGCCGCCTCTCCGCTGGCAGAAGACGTCGGGAGGGGCGGCGGAAGGTGGCGGAGATAATAGATGGGCCCCCAAGATCGGGGAAACGTAAGACTCGAGTAAGCCAGGTCTCGGGTTTGCTGACGTTATTTGACGAGCGCGTTCTGGATTTTGACGGTCCAGTTCTCGTGGGATGTTTGCAGCGGGAGCTCGCATCAACTTTCAGATTGGGTCTCGTCATTTTTACGAGGCCAACTCGAGTCCCCCGTACCCGAGTTTTCCGTCCCCCCGACGAGAGATGACAACATGTTGGATTCCAGGGTTTCTGGAAGCCGCCAGCTGATCGGCATCACGGTTTGGGAGCCTGAGGTGGCCCAGCAGTGGCTCCGGCCAGCAGGCAGGAAGGGCGGCGGGCAGGTTCGAGGCGCTGGGTTCGGGGAGGTTCTTGGTCTTTTTCGCCCCCCCCCGGGGGCCGTTTTCGGGCCGCGTGGCCGTAAGAAGCGAATTTGGAGTGAAAACTTGCACCAGATGTACCTTGGAAGGGGTCCAGGGACCGATTTTGATCGGATTTGGCTCCATCCCCCCTTCCTGACCAACTTTATGGGACCCCATCTAGGTCACACCTCCCAGCCGCCTCCCAGACTGATCGGCATTCTCAGGCATACTTCAGGTTGGGAGCTTTGATTTAGCGATACTTAGCGTGTCGCGCCGCAGGTTTGGCCCACCACGCTTCGGCACGACTCGCTAATGCAACGTTCCAGTTATCTAGGTCGGGCGGGGCTAGAACGAGGATAAATCCGAGCCAGAGTGTTCTGGAACGCTATCATAATGTTCCGAAGCGCTCCGGGAAGGCCGCGGCTCCCGAGACATCCTCCAGAGTTGCCGGCTCTCAGAGATTCTCGATGTATCTTCACCCGAGTTTATCTTCGTCCTGGTTTCGTCTTAGTCTAGGGCCCAAGTAGCCGACATACCCTAAGAGGGGGAGGATGGAGGAGGGACGAGCAAGAATGAGGAGGAATAGACGGAGGGGGAGGAGGAGGAGGAGGAGGAGGAGGAGGAGGAGGAGGAGGAGGAGGAGGAGGAGGGGGAGGGCGAGCAGAAGGGCCAGAGGCCTCTTGGAGGCCTCTTGGGCTCCAGCAGCAATCTTCCACGATGACGTCCTTCTTTGCGCGGCGACGTCGGATCTCGGGGCAGGGCCGTCTTCTGGCCTCAAGTCGGGCATGTCCTTCTACAGGAGGAATATTTAAGAATGGTACAACAATAATATGGGGCCATGGTTCTACGATTTGCTCTCGTTTCCAACCATCCTGTGGTTTTGGGTCCTCGTTTTGAAGAGACAGCGACCCGCGTCACCTCACCTCGCCTCCCGCTGCCCCCTACCCCTCCTCCCTCCTCCCATCCGTTGCCTCTACTCTCCGCATGCCAATCCCATTCTGGCACAGCCCTCACACAGTTCGTGGCTCCATAGGGAGCTCCACCACCGAAGGCCCCAGCGGCAGGGTCCGCATGCGTCCCCCCGTTCATTTCGGCACACCCTTCACGAGGATCGTGGCCCCATCCATAGGGAGCTCAACCAAAGGCGCCAGCGGCAGGGTCCGCATCCGTCCCCCCGGTCATTTCGGCACACCCCTCACGAGGATCGTGGCCCCATCCATAGGGAGCTCCACCAAAGGCGCCAGCGGCAGGGTCCGCATCCGTCCCCCCGGTCATTTCGGCACACCCCTCACGAGGATCGTGGCCCCATGGGGAGTTCCACCAAAGGCCCCAGCGGCAGGGTCCGCATGCGTCCCCCCGCCCACTTCGGCACACCCCTCACGAGGATCGTGGCCCCATATGGAGCTCCACCGAAGGCCCCAGCGGCAGGGTCCGCATGCGTCTTCCCGCCCATTTCGGCACACCCCTCACGAGGATCGTGGCCCCATTGGGAGCTCCACCGAAGGCCCCCGCGGCAGGGTCCGCATGCGCCCCCCCGCCCACTTCGGCACACCCCTCACACGAGGATCGTGGCCCCATTGGGAGCTCCACCGAAGGCCCCAGCGGCAGGGTCCGCATGCGCCCCCCCGCCCATTGCGGCACACCCCTCACAAGGGTCGTGGCCCCATGGGGAGCTCACCGAGAGCGGTACCCACAACGCGCCATTCACAAGTGCATATGGTTGGGCCCTTCGCCCGGAGAATTGGATAGTTCTGGGCGACGCTCCGTTATCCTACAACATCAGCCTGTAGGAGGACATGCCCGACCCAACCCTGGCCGCAGCCCAGCACCTGCACTAATCTCGACCGGGCCCTATCCTGTGCCTGGGATCGGTGCATCTGCCTCCAAGGCCTTCCAGATGGGGTCGGAGCAGATCAGGTCGGAGGAATGCGCCGCATCGCCGATGCATCGGCGATGCGGCTCGATGTTAGAGGAGAGTGTACCGATGCATCGGCGATGCGGCGCGATCCTCTGACCCCATCTACTCGGACTCTCTTTTTGAGAGGCATTCCTGTTACCTCCCTATCCAGGGCAGGACGGCGTGTATCAGTGAGCATAATACAGCCCGAACCCCAATAACACAATGGTTTCGTGGCCTAACTTAGGTCCACGGCTTGAAGGGAGATCCCTGAACACATTAGTGGTATCGTCTGTTTAAGGATTTCCCTAAACACATGAGTGGTCTCGTCTGGCACATTTGCAAAGAAAGACCCCATGTCCCTAGTGTTGTTTGGCCCTCCTAACGTTGGTCCCATCCCAAAGGATCAGGGGCCCCTTTATAGCTTATCAGTATACACCGATCCCTGGGGACAAGGTTGCATTTGCATTGGCCAGGGTCGGTGCGTAGGTTCGGAGGTTGCGTCCTTCTAGGCGAGGCGAGATCCTGCACGTGACGTGGTGCTTCGAGGAGCAGGAGACGGCATAGGTGTAAGCGTAGGGTTACGGAGGTCCGTGCGGACTCTTATGAGTCGGTATTGGGCCTCACTCCTTGCAACCTTGTGCCGCCTCTGGCGCTGCCTCTTGCGCCGCCTCCTGCGCGCTCCGCAGAGGGTTTGTGGAGGAGGGGTCCAAAGGCGACACAAGAGGTCCGCACGGACGTCTGAAACATTATGCTTGTGCTGTTTGGTTGTCTGATGTTGTGGAGAGCGAGCGACTTGATCGAGGTGTCCGAGCACGACGTCAAGGCGCTGTCTCGCGCCAGGACTCGACGAGCAGGTGCTCGGAGGACGCCAGCGATACGCGACGCCAGTCCAGGCCACACCCACATAATTGGGCCTATCTGTACGGTCGAAGTGAGGACGGAAATTACGGAGGCGAATGCCAATATCATGTCTTGTTTTTGCTGAACAGGGCTCGCTCTCAATGTTGCCCCGCACGTTGCCCACTCGAGCCACCTCAAGTGGTGGCGGCTTTCCGACAACATGTTTTGTTGGGCATTGTTCCCACATTGCCCACGCGTTCACCAGCACGGACGAGTTGCAGACGCTGCTACACTTGGTGGCCGTGCTCCAAGAGAGGCAAGGAGTCCGTCCGGCGGCCGAGGGGAGTTGTGGGCGTCGCCCGACAGCCGGGGGCAAGACGTTTTTGTTGTCCTGCCTGCCGGAGCTCAGCAGGGTGCGACCCGGACCCGACGATGCGCTGCCGCTCCTGCACCCCGTCTTGCACACAGGAGGAGGACCCCCGCTCCCGTCCTCGTTCCTCATTCCTCTTATCGTCGCCCCCGAGACATGCAACATCTTGAGACAAATCAGGACGGGTGATTGTTCTTCGTGTTCGGCCTCCGGGGGTTCTTACCAGACCTCGGGACCGTCAGGAAACGACTCAGTATGAAAATCCAGTCCCGGGGAATGGGTCGAGGCCCAGGACCCCTGGGCGTCGACGCTATCGAGAAATCAAGACATCGCTTTTCTGGGCCCTCATCCTCGCGCCTCCTCTCCCTGCCCAGATGTCCGAGGATGTTTGTTTGACTTCTTGGTCCTGTTCCAATCATTACATATCCGCCGCCCCAGGACTGCCGATCCCTTCCCCAGGAGTAGCTCTGCGTCTCGGGTCCGTGTCTGATGGTCCCAGGGCTCGAAGCCTGCCCTCGAGGGCCGACTCCTGGGTAAAAAACAAAAGTTCCCCCTCCTCCTGGCACCTGGCACCTCGTGGCATGAATGTTCTCCCTCCGCCTCCCCCTCCTCCTCGTCTTCCTCCTCCTCTTGCTCCTTCTCATCCTCTCATTGCTCACCCATCCTCCTCCTCCTCCTCCTCCTTCCCTTCCGCCACGCTCCACCTCCTCCTCCTCCTCCTCATCCTCCAGCTGCCTCCTCCGCGAGCGACTGCGATCCCGCGGTCCTGATCCTTCTGCACAAAGACGACCTGGGAAAACTTGACACACTCCCTTAGGGCCATCCTTCGAAGCTTCTTTGGAAGCTTGCGCTGGGTGAGCCTGTGAATTGCCTGCTGGCCCGCGCTCTGACTTGTGGGAGGGGTGCGTGCAGGCTTCTTGAAGTTCTCGGGAGGCCCGAACACGCCAGGACCGACACCTCTGACACCACTGGACCCCTGGACCGACAGCAGAGTGGGGCCGATGGGTGGGCCTCCAACCTGAGCAGCGACCCCCACGTCTGACTGATCTCAGGAGGGAAAAAAGACACAGACACGAAGAATCGTCGATTCCTGCGAGAGCAGAGGAAAATATGTGAAGTGGATGGGGAAGGCGAAAATCCTGAAGCTGTGGAAAAATTGCGAGCTGTTGACCTCCAAGGACTTGTACAGCCAGGAGCCGAAGCACCTCGCGCCGTTCGACCTGACAAAGCTCAAGGTTGCCAAGGGACGTGCGCGGCCGCGCTCTGTGGCCAACTTTCTTTCTCCTCTAGCCGCGGAGATGATCCGCCATCCAGGACAGTGCATAGAAAAGGACGAGGGGGAGATGGAGTTCACGCGACAATCGACGGGCCCCATCAAACCTTACTGGGATCCGGTGCTTCGCTTGAGTCGACTGAAACGATGGCGGCTGTTCAGAGTGCTGTACGAGCTTGGACTTGTCACGTTCAGGCGTCGTCTCCGCGCTCGAGCTGCTCTCTTTTTTGTAAAGAAGAAGAGGCCAGGAGAGATTCAAATGATTGTGGACGCCAGGCAGGCCAACGCTTGCCATCGGGCGCCGCCAACCGCACGGCTTGGGTCGGCCGGTGCCCTCGCAGATCTCGACCTCTCCGTGGGGGGCGGCTCCTTCGGCGGCGCCGGTGGCGTTGTCGGGTGGGGCCCCCACGGGAACGAGGCAGACGTCGAGGACTGTTTCTACAATTTTGCGATATATGGCCTGGCGGAGTGGTTCGGTTTCGACGACCCGCTGCCGGTCGCGACGATCAGAGACACCAGCGCCATCAACGTCGGTGCCTTCTGGGACCCCGATCTGAACGCGATGGTACCAACCGAGGATGACGTTGTGCTCTACCCATGCATGCGAGCTATGTGCATGGGATGGTCGTGGGCTCCGTACTTTGCGCAGGAAGCAGCGTCGGCAATGACATCACGAGCCCTGCAGCCGTGCTCGACTACGGAGCCCGCCATGGTGAAAGAGCATCATGCAGTGCCTGACCTTAGCGAGTCCAAGGTCATGGGCAGCGTCTACGTGGACAACATCACGATCCTCGGCATGACCGCACCCCTAGCTCGCGAGGCTAGCTCCGCCCTTCGATGTGAGGCCGAACGGAGCGGACTCCCCCTCACTTGGAGCTGCCCTGATGTCGCCACCCATCTTGAAACAGAGGGGGTCGAGCTCGACCTCAGGAAAGGGCGCCTCCGCAACCAGGCTTCTCGCGTCTGGAGATTTGACCTGGCTGCCCGGGCTCTCCTGGCTCGGGGAAAGATGCGCGGCGAACGTATGGAGGTTTGGCTTGGTCACGCCGTCTCCCTATTGATGCTTGCCAGGTCTGGTCAGTGAGCACCCTTAGGATGGCAGCTCTGTGTCCTGCCTGTGGGGTCCCTAATCGCGACCTCCTCGCTCTCCCACGCCTCTCAGGATGTGGAAAGCCGCGCCACACTTGCATCAGAACTTCTTCGCTTTGGATGTGTACTGCCACGCGCCACACGACTGGAACACGTATGGTCTGCTGGCCTTCCTCGAGCGCTGGTCATACCCATCCTGCCAATACCAAGGCGGTAGGCAATGTCTGGCGAAGTGGCCGAAAAGCCCTGCTGGAACATTGACCCCGGCGCCCCCTTTAAGCGCTTGGGATGGGGTTCCCGCAAACGGCTTGAGCCAACCTTGCTATGGACCAATTGCCTCCTCCTTCTCCTCATCCTTCTCCTCCTCCTCCTACTCCTCGTTAGCCACTGCAGACGCCTCCCCAACGCCTGATCATGATGATCCTTCTCCTCATCCTCCTCCTCTTCTTCCACCACCACCACCACCACTACCACCACCACCACAACCACCACCACCGCCACCACCACCATCACCACCACTACCACCACCACCACAACAACCGCCACCTCCCTCCGTATCTTACCCCCCTCCTCTTCCCTCGCCTTCCATCCTCTTCCCTCCCCCTCCTCCCTCCTCCATCATCCTCCTTCCTCCCTCCTCCCCCCGCCTCTCCAGTGGCCTCCCCTCGAGGATCGCGGGCCCTGTGAGTAGAACCGCGCGGCGACCACCGTCCGGGCGGCTGCACAGACGGCCGCCTCGGGGGGTCCCAGGGACGCCTGCGGGCCGCCGCCGCGCGAGAGGAGGCGGGGCGCGGCAGGCTGAGATCGCCGGCGCACGGCCTGGAACAAATGCAGCTGCCTGAGACGCCCGCCTTGAGACGCAATACGCACCGTGTTCAAAACGTCCGTCTTAACGCGCTGCGTCTTGGCTCAACGTGTCGGCCCTCGGTGTGGGCAGACGTGTCGCGCCAGGCGTACGTTCTCAATCTCCGTTTTGGGCTCCGTGTCGACCCGCACCTTGTTGCGTGTTGCGTATCGGGGTGGCTAAGATCCTGAGGTGTTGGTTCTGCTATTTTCTCAAAGCGGGCGTGATCGGTCGGTTTCGGGCCCCGGGGCCCCCGCAGACCGGTGCGGCTCGGAACATGACGCAGAAATTTTTGGGGTGCGGGGCTCCCGTTGTGATGGTTTGCCATGTTGCATGCTGGGGGGAACGTCAGATCTGACGGGAGAGTCTTTGCCCTGGCATCATTTCTGTTTTTCGGAGGCCTCCTGGAAGGCCTTCGTCGCCACGGCCGGATGCGCCTCGACGTGCTGGTCAGAAGGTAACTACTCTGGGAAAGGTCCAGAGAGTAGCGGTATCGATACCTGTTGGTTTCCCCAGCCGCCATTTTGGCGGCCCTTTTCGCCAAACTCGCTCCAGGGGAGGGGGGGGGAGCGCGGGGGAGGAGGACGAATGAAAGGACGGAGGAGGAGGAGGAGGAGGAGGTTGAGCACAAGGAGGGGGGGAGCAGGCGGACGGGGAAGCAAGAGCGGAGACAGGAGGGGAGAGGAACGAGCGAGGAACGATTGGGGGAGGAGGAGCAGCAGAATCAGGAGCAGCAGAAGGAGGAGGCGACGGAGAGGTGAGGCAGGCGGCAAAAGGGGGAGGAGAGAAGGGATCAGAGCGGGGTTATACTGAGGAGGGAGGACGGCGGAGGCAGGGGGCGAAGGGCTCGCGTAGAAGGGAGGAGGGCGGAGGAGGCAGGAACGAGGAAACAGGATATAGGAGAGAGGGAGAGGGAGAGAGAGAGAGAGGACATCGGCAAGCTAGGTGCGCTCGCGTCATATCTGCATTCTAGCCCTCCGACTCATATCTTCCTATGGGGCCCCGCGAACGCTTGTCACAGCGGACTCGGAACTCCAAAGAGACCCCATCGTGTTATGCGCAATCGGAAACAAGGGGGCTGCGTACATCGGAGGAAGAGGTGGCGGACGAGCAGGAGGATGAGCAGGAGGACCAGGAGAAGGAGCAGGAAGGAGCAGGACGAGGAAGAGCAGCAGCAGCAGGAATGTCAGTGGAAGGAGCATGAGAAGCAGGAGGACCAGGGGAAGGCGGAGGAGGGAACATGAGGAGACCGACAACAATAAAAAAGGAGTCGGATCCAGAAAAGAGGCCCGCGCTGTGGCGAGAGCGCCATCCTGAACGACGGGAGCGTGGCCCACGCTGCAGCGGGAACTCCATTTTGAAACACCGAAGACGCTCGGATTGTAAAACACGGTGAGAGCATCGAATATTGAAGATTGGCGTGTAAAAAACGAAGAGGGCGGGCTATCTTTCTGGACGGCGTTAGGGGAGATGGGAGAGTGGTTTCAGAATGTGCACGTGTAGAAAGAAGGGACCGGGGAGGAGGTCTCCAGAGGTCCCTTGATGCCTCCAGAAGGCCTCCTGGAGGCCTCCAGAGCCCCCCCCCACACACGCACACGCACACGCACGCGCACACGCACACGCACACGCACACGCACACGCACACGCACACGCACACGCACACGCACACACACACACACACACACACACACACACACACACACACACACACACACACACACACCTTTTCCCAACCCTCCTTGGTTGGGTATTCGTTTTGAATAGAGCAGTGTGGTCTCCACTCCTTCCTTCCTTCCTCCTCCTCCCTCCCTCTCTGCCTCTTCCTGTCTTGCCTGCGGGGGGCTGCGATCTGTGAAACTGTCGCCATTTTCGAGGCCTGCTGGGGGGCCCAGCACAGTGAGGGCCCGCGCAGATTCAAATTAGACCTCGCCATCCCTGGGGGGCTGCGATCTGTGAAACTGTCGCCATTTTCGAGGCCTGCTGGGGGGCCCAGCAAAGTGAGGGCCCGCGCAGATTCAAATTAGACCTCGCCATCCCTGGGGGGGCTGCGATCTGTGAAACTGTCGCCATTTTCGAGGCCTGCTGGGGGGCCCAGCAAGTGAGGGCCCCGCGCAGATTCAAATTAGACCTCGCCATCCCTGGGGGGGCTGCGATCTGTGAAACTGTCGCCATTTCGAGGCCTGCTGGGGGGCCCAGCACAGTGAGGGCCCGCGCAGATTCAAATTAGACCTCGCCATCCCTGGGGGGCTGCGATCTGTGAAACTGTCGCCATTTTCGAGGCCTGCTGGGGGGCCCAGCAAAGTGAGGGCCCCGCGCAGATTCAAATTAGACCTCGCCATCCCTGGGGGGGCTGCGATCTGTGAAACTGTCGCCATTTTCGAGGCCTGCTGGGGGGCTCAGCACAGTGAGGGCGACGCGCAGATTCAAATTAGACCTCGCCATCCCTGGGGGGCTGCGATCTGTGAAACTGTCGCCATGTTCGAGGCCTGCTGGGGGGCCCAGCACAGTGAGGGCGACGCGCGGATTCAAATTAGACCTCGCCATCCCTGGGGGGCTGCGATCTGTGAAACTGCCGCCATTTTCGAGGCCTGCTGGGGGGCCCAGCACAGTGAGGGCCACGGGCAGATTCAAATTAGACCTCGCCATCCCTGGGGGGGCTGCGATCTGTGAAACTGTCGCCACTTTCGAGGCCTGCTGGGGGGCCCAGCACAGTGAGGGCCACGCGCAGATTCAAATTAGACCTCGCCATCCCTGGGGGGCTGCGATCTGTGAAACTGTCGCCACTTTCGAGGCCTGCTGGGGGGCCCAGCACAGTGAGGGCGACGCGCGGATTCAAATTAGACCTCGCCATCCCTGGGGGGCTGCGATCTGTGAAACTGTCGCCACTTTCGAGGCCTGCTGGGGGGCCCAGCACAGTGACGGGGCTGCGATCTGTGAAACTGTCGCCACTTTCGAGGCCTGCTGGGGGGCCCAGCACAGTGACGCCACGCGCGGACCAAATTAGACCTCGCCATCCCTGGGGGGCTGCGATCTGTGAAACTGTCGCCACTTTCGAGGCCTGCTGGGGGGCCCAGCACAGTGACGCCACGGCAGATTCAAATTAGACCTCGCCATCCCTGGGGGGGGCTGCGATCTGTGAAACTGTCGCCACTTTCGAGGCCTGCTGGGGGGCCCAGCACAGTGACGCCACGGGCGGACCCAAATTAGACCTCGCCATCCCTGGGGGGCTGCGATCTGTGAAACTGTCGCCACTTTCGAGGCCTGCTGGGGGGCCCAGCACAGTGACGCCACGCGCGGACCCAAATTAGACCTCGCCATCCCTGGGGGGCTGCGATCTGTGAAACTGTCGCCACTTTCGAGGCCTGCTGGGGGGCCCAGCACAGTGACGCCACGGGCAGATTCAAATGAGACCTCGCCATCCCTGGAGGGCTGCGATCTGTGAAACTGTCGCCACTTTCGAGGCCTGCTGGGGGGCCCAGCACAGTGACGCCACGACAACAGAGAGCCGCGCCCAGACGGCGCATCGGCAGGAAATGTGCACATGCATACGTGGAAAATGTCACTGGGCCTCGGCCGGCAACCACTTGCAAGCTTTGCGCAAATGGCGCGCGAGGGTAAGCAGCAACACTCCGTCTGAAGAGGGTGGGGGGGGCGGGGAGGGGACAGGGAGGAGGGAGGCGAATGAGCAGAGCGAGGGAACTCATCGCAATCACACTGACTGTTTACAATACTCTTTAACAGCTGCATCCCATTCCCTTAGAGGAGAATTTAATAAAATCTGCAGGCGGTCGGGGTCGTCTCCTGCGACTCTCAGCGCGCGGGCGTGCATGTAACTGGTCCATTGCAAGCGCGGTCTGCCTCGATTCTTCAGGGACCGCCATTCCCGCGGCATTAGGGAGTGCGCCTCGCCTGGCTGGAACACCATTGCTTTCGGCAGCGATTGCGAAGGTGCCCTTGCTAATTTACTGTAATATTTAAGCTGCCTCTCCAATAGTATAGTTGACAATGGAGGAGATTGTGCTTCAAGCAGGACACGTTGATTGCTGAAGAAAGATAGGAATGCCGGTTGGATCTTCAGTACTCTGCGGTAGCATTTGGCTTGAAATCCATCCAGTCTGTTCTTGTCTGCTTGCAATAATACACAAGATTCCAATCCGTACAATAATTTGGAGAAGACGCAGGCTTGCAGTACTCGTAGCTTGTGCTGCTTGGTCATGTTTGCGTGGTTCCACACAGCACATAATTTGTCAAATGCTCCTTTTGCTTCTCCGAGGCGGCGCGTTATTTCAGCCTTGGGCCGACCATCTGCGCTTAAGAGGCCACCAAGATAAACAACGTCGTCTTTAGATTGGATTTCTTCTCCATTCGGCCCCAAAACCGTAGCATCCGATCTGATTTTCAATAATAATGTTTTGCCAGCGTTCAGGTCGAGCCCAAAAGTTTTCCCAATGTTTGACACGATATGAAAATGCCTCTGAAGTGACTCCAGACACTGTGCCACGAGCAGCGTGTCGTCGGCGTAGAGCGCGTCATTAGTAACCACATACGGCTTATTCTTGAAGATGCCCGGCTGCGCGTGGAAGTCCTTGTCGACGGCCTCGAGAAGCACCGACATAACGATTACGAACAGATAAGGAGATAAAGGACAACCTTGTGCAATTCCAGCTGGTTGACACTTTTGCGATGATGTTGTTGCCCCATCTTTGACGACAAACTTGCGCGCCTTGTAGATCGCGGCAATCATGTTCAGCATGGCGGGTGGTACTCGGAAGTGGCGGAGTGCGAACAGTAGCCCCGCTGGTCTGATACGATCAAAAGCTTTGCTCCAGTCTAGCAACAGCAGGAACAGTTTACCATTTGTGTCCTCCAGTGCAGCGTCAATGAGTCTTCGCACTAAGAATAGTGCGTCGCTGGTGCCCCGGGCAGGCCGGAATCCATATTGAGATTCTCGTAGTTTGTCTTCAGCGCCTCCAGTCTTGAGTCGGTGTAAAATTATACTGGCCAAAACTTTATAGCCCACCGCTAA